ACGCCTGAGCAAGTGGCGGCGGATCGAGCAGCAGCTGCAGCGTGATGGGCAGATGCACGAGCCAACCGGACACCTGAGCAAGTGGCGGCGGACCGAGCAGCAGCTACTGCTCGGTGGGCGCGGTGGTCGGAGGCGTGAGCCAACCGAACGCCTGAGCAAGTGGCCACGCATCGAGCAGCACATGCAGCTCGGGTAGCAGAGGTGCGAGCCAACCGAACACCTGAGCAAGTGGCGGCAGACCAAACAGTGGACGCAGCTCGAAAGCATCAAGCCCGTGTGATTCGGCAACAGTCATCTGAGGAGCACACACCACAACACACCCGCCGCAGCAGGGGTAGCCTTGTGGAGGCAGTTTTGGATGCTGCCTTCTGGGTTTCAGGCGGCCGACAAACCCCACCAAGCCTTGTATGGGTGCCTGGTTAGACAGCAGTACAGCTTCATGGCCGGAACATGTGCAAGATGTTCCTGCGGGTCAGCCTCTGCCCACTGTAATTCCCTTAACAGCTTCTGTTAGGGTTTAAGGTTTAGGGTTTAGGGTACAGATCCGAGTCGCCAAACAGCTTTATGCCACTGTCAAAAACAACATGGCTCCTGTGTCTGCACCTGCTGCAGCGAGATGAAGTCCGCGGTACAGGCACACGGCTACCGGTTTGGTGACATCCCCAACGTGCACCAGTTGCGTGCAGATGTTTGGAGGACGCTGGCAGTGGCGCGTCCAGCTCAAGTCGTCGCATGGCTACCAGTGACAGCCGCCAGAGCACCACCACCGCCCGAGCCAGCTTTGCCGTGGGGCTTCCGAAAGATGTGGCTCAATGGGCATTCTACGGAGAAGACGGGGCTCACCAAGCATCCTGGTACGACAGGGGACTCTGGTGGTTCGGATGACCAAGAGCACCGCCAGCCCACCCAGCAGCACAGTTCGTTGCAACAGGCGCGGGACCATTTGGGCAACACTGGAGCATATGGCTCTTCCTGGAAGACTTTCCACCGCATGAGGCGGGCCCATCTAGTCTGCCACGGTGATGTCGGCGTGAGACAGATGGTGTGA